GGTACTGGAACGGCGGGGCCGAGGGGTTGGGCTGTGGGGGTGATCTGTGTATAGGTGGTCTCTTATACACATCTAGATGTGTATAAGAGACAGCTATACCACCTACCCCTATACCCCCCTATACTCCAACCCCTACCCCCCCATATCCCCGCCCATCCCCAAGAGTTTCTCAGCGGATTTGGGCTGTACTCAGCAAGCGCAGTACAGCCCCCAACTCAGATTTGAAAAAAAATCAGTGCGCGTGTTTTTTTTTTTTTTTTTTTTTCACTGGTCGGCAGACCGCCGACCGGTTGGCCCAACTAGTCCACCGCAATACGGTCGGCGGTCGGCAGGGATGCAACCCTGGCGAGTTCTGTAAATGGTTTACTTCTGTATTGATTTTCTGTTGCAAATTTTGAATCAATCATGTTGGCTCATTTATCTGTTATCTCACTTCTAAAGTATGGCCATTCATGTGATTCCCAAAGGCGTTGTATTTCGTTGCTGGCCTATCCTTTCTCATTCAGAAATAGAGGACAGCGGATGATCTGTGCCAAAAACTTTGTTGCAAAATTTTCTGTGATTTTGTTTGGAGCTGTTTGCTGCCCATTTCTAATCAATCATAATGATTCATTCATGATTTCTCTCTCTAGGGTGCGGCCATTGATGCGGTTGCAGAAGCTCTCGAGTTGACAAGGGCGACCAGCTCGACCATGGTAGGTCGTCTAACGAATGCTGCTGTTGCAAGGATGCGTATTGAGTTGCGCAACTGCACTGTGGCGATTGAGACTGGGTGTATGGCAGGGTCATTTATCCGCATTGGATTCACATTGGACAGCCTTGTTATGGAGGAGGGAAATTTCCACCACGATAATGACAAGGGGCTATTGCGAGCTGCAACTTCGGCTGTCATTGCAGATGAAGCTGTGGCTGTGTTAAAATTGTGTCGTGTGAGTGGGTTTGGCATGTGGATGGAATCACAATGGGCCGCTAGGAGTGAACAGGACATCAAGAGTAAGGAGCCAGCAGCGGAGATTGCTGATGCACAGGGTAGCCAATCTGGGCAGAAAGCTGGAAATGTGAGTGATGGCATTGCAGAACAACGAAGCTGTGGCAGCTACAAGATGAGGAGACGATGTTTGCTGAAGCAGGGGGATCACAAGCTGCTGCTCAGGTATTCCCCAGGTTCGGTCGATTACATTGAAATGGATATGAACGAGATGGATTTCCAGATGGACACGGAAGATATTGCAGAGTTGATGATTGTTATGAACTCCGTGCGCGGTCAAGGTTTCTCTGACTTGCGTTCACGAAGGGAGAACAAGCGAGGGAATGAACATTCTGGAAATGAAGTGAATGACTTGTGTTCAGGAAGGGAGGATGAGGGAGTGTATGAGCGTTCCAAAAATGAAGTGAATAGACCTGAGGAAGAGACGGGAGATGACGGTGCCCATTCAGGTGTAGGAAACCTGGGAACTCATGTTAAGGATGACGAGATCGATATGCGGCGCAGGGCAGAGGAACGAACTTTCAGAGGGATTGAAGAAGAGTTGGCGGGCCCTGTGGGAGACAGAATGGAAAGTGAAGAAAAGGATCAGGGGGCGAAGACAAAGATTCATGACAGGAAATGGGCTGTAGATCTGTGGCACAAAGGGCTAATGCGTGTGCTTGAGCAGAGCTCAAAAAAACAGCTGGCTCGCGCTGTGCTTGCTGGGATTGCAAGGCGTAGATATGTAGCGCTTTATGAGGAGTGGTTGAAGGATCTTCGTAGAGATCTAGCCGGGCGTGGATGGGGTGACAAGGAGGGGAAGCAAAGCAAAGGAAGGGGGTTGTTGGCTGCATTACGTGACATGGAGAAAGGAATGCCAGAGGAGGCTGTTGTTCTGGGCCGTCGAGTGGCAAGAAAGCGATCGGTCGAGGACCTCAGTTTGCTCAAACTTGAAAGGGAAGGCCCAGGGGAACAGGTGTCAGATGTCCCTAGGTCTGGCTGGTCATTGGGTGCTGCATGGCGTATACTTGGCACAATCAGGGGGCTCGCCTCCAAGCCAATCAAGGCAGCAAATGCAAAACGTAACAAGGGAGCTGAGCAGGGTCCGGTAGACAAGGAGGCCGATGATGAAAGCTTAAAACAGGGAGAGGGCAATGACCCTGAGACACCTGGGAAGATAGTCAAGGATGGAAGTGGGAATATGAACATCATTCCCGTACTTCCTGGAACAGACCTGGTGTTTACAGTCTCCATGCAGCGTGTGTCCATAACAGTTGGACAAGCATCAGCAGCAAACCGAATGGTAGCAAGCACCTCTGAAGGGAAAGACCAAGGTAGAGATGCAAAGCTAGGGGCGAAGTCATCGGTGGTGGCACCAGGACTACCGGACGGATTGGGAACAGGATCCACTTTGCTATCAACAGTACACGAGATCAAAGCCCTGTGTCTTTGCTGTGAAGATCTTTCTGCATTTTATGGAACGAGCCTTCAGGCGACTGGTGTGGAGTTCGTGTGTGGCAATGTGCTAGCGGATTGTGTCACGGCAAAAGTAGCGCAAGAACCGATCAATGAGGTTGCACACTCAAAGCAGCGAGGTAGTCTGGAAATGACTGAAGAAGAGAGATGGGCTATGGTGGGCCAGTCAGCAAAGGAACGTTGGGTTTTGGATATGGACAATGCAGTTCCAGTTGTGCGGTCTTCATCTTCGAAGGTTGTTCCTGGCATCAGGAGAGGGTCGGCTCCAGATGCTGGTGTGATGAAAGAAGGTTGGGTGTCCCAGGGTTTCAGGGAACGCATGGGACTACCTCCTCGGATGCAGGAGATGAGAGCAAGTTCTGATTCGGTGAGCTCAAGAGCTAGCATGGGAAGTCCGAGGGGAAACAATGAGAGGAGAGAGGGCTTGGCACTTGCCGTAGAGGTAAAGAGACCGTTTCTTATGTTTGAGATGGAGAGCAAGGTAGGTTGGCTGTCTAAGGAGCAAAGCGCCGGGAGTCTGTCAAACTGCAGAGTTGCAGTTGGTCAACTGGAATGCTTTCTTAATGGGGATGTTATTGGATGCGGCGCTCTGATGGCTGCGGAAGCAGGTGTAGCTGGTGGCAGCCAAAGTAGTGTTGATCATCACGAGGGAGTATGCACTCCTGCCAATCAGCGACAAAACAAAGATGCTGCCCCTCTGCAAAATGCAGCGCTTTCTGCGGCGGAGTTCTTGAAACAGACGGCGATGGCCTTGACAGCTGCGGTGCGTGATAACTTACACAATTTGGTGCCGAACATGCAGATCAATTTGGCAGCTTTTATCTGTGGGCCAAGGCTAATATTGACAGACATTGTGCCTACAGCACAAAGAGGGAAGCGAGGGGGTGCAGCGAGCAAAGGTGGAAAAGGTTGGGGACGCTGGCAGGATCAGGCCTTGATCGTTGACTTAGGTCAGGTTGAAGTTGGAGTGTGGCCCGTACTTCCAGGAAGAGGGGGGAAAGAGCTTGAAGCACTACAAAACGGTCACAATGGGAAAGCTGATTCCATTTGGGGATGGCGATCAGTGTGGGCTAGAAGCAGAAACATGAGGGAAGCAAATGCTTGGTGGGATCCAGCTGTGGAGGAGGATGCCTGGAGAAAGCGACCAGTGGGATCATTGATTTCAGCTGGAGGCAGAAGGAACAGCCTAATGGAAGAGACGAGGGTGTGGAACAATGTGAGGATTGCTGTCACTGGGATGTCAATTGGCATGGGCGAAAAGAAAGGAATCTACACCCAAGTGTCCTCATGGATATTAGCTCCGGCGAAGATGGTTGCTCATGCTTCTGCCTACAGGTCAGTGTTCTCTGTTCGTTTATGTATAACCCTTCGTCTCTGTTCGTTTATGTATAATCCTTCGTCTCTGTTTGTTTATGTATAATCCTTCGTTTATGCAACCAATTGGTACTTGTTTCATCTCTTTGACTATCTGCACAGTCCCAGGGATATACCTGCCCTCCTCAATTGGTTGCTGGTGTTCTTTGTTGGCATGCAACATGGAATCGCCCGAGCCAGCCTCGGAAGTGCGATCTTCCCAATGGCTCCGCCCATACTGATATATTGTCTTTACCTCTGCTATGTTCTTGAAGCTTATAAATTTTCTCCTCTTTACAGCACTCTTGGGTGAGAGAAGAGTAATCTCTCTGCTCCCCCACATGCTCCCTCACTCATCCTAAAGTGTGCCATTCATGAATGGTCACCTCACAACGTATTGGCTAGCACAGTGATCACTTCTTCGTATATCTGTGCAGCTTTGCAGGGAGTCGTTACCTTACCTCTACTATGTCCCCGAAGCTCATGACTTTTCTCCTCCTCACAGCATTCTTGGAGTCGAGCAGAGTAATTTCTGGGCTCTGCTTCCCCACGTGCTCTCCCGCTCATCCAAAAGTGTGCTATTCATGAATGGTCGCCTCACAACCTATTGGTTAGTACAACGATGAATTCTTCGTATATTAGTGTGGCTTTGCAAGGAATGGTCTCTACTCTTCATGAGATATACAATGACCTTTATTAGTAGGTTTGTTTCCGATGGTCCTGAATTGTTTGAAGTGCTGATGAAGTGGCACTCGACCTTGAACATAATGTACACTCCCTCCATGTACGCCTCATGACCGTACTCTGAATAACATGACAAAGGCTTTTGATGATCATGTTGAAGCTGTGATGCTCTCAATATGGTGGTTTGAGGTCCTCATTGGGGCAAATAGACAGCTGATTCGGGCCCAAACACCCTCTCTCTCTCAGATTCTTCAACATCAATGCGCTACTCTTTGTGCTACAGAATACCTGTGTACGCTGCAGATGGTTTGAGGTCCCGAATTGTTTTTATTGCGCAGGGGGCATGCTAATCTTCTCTGTACCGTTCCAATTTTAACGGATGTCGCTTGGTTGAAGGTGGTTCTGTTTTCGTGATTGAAAAGCAGGAAAGGAAGCAAAGAGAGGATATTGTCTTGATTGCAGGCATGGTTTGAAAATCCGTATGGCTACCGTCTTCACCCGAGTGGAGCGCCTGGCATTATCACTGTACCTAGACGGAAAGTTGCCCCAAATACAGCTATAATGACTGCGCGTTTGATTGGGGTGAATACGGTAGGGATTAGGACTGTTAAGGTGTCAATCTCTTGATGAGTCGGTGGAAGTCCGGTGAAGCAGTCTGTCTCAGTTGGCCGGAGGGCTGTTTTCTTGACTGTGGGGCTGTCAGACTGTTTACATGGAGTAGTCCAAGGAGTGGAAGGCAGCGAAGCCATAAAGATCGATCTGCAACGTAGTGAGCAGTACCCTACGTTTAGCTGATGCACCAGTACATGACTGGAGAAAGGTGTGATTCTGCATTCGGTGGCTCTTTTTCAATGAGATTTGGTGCTGGTTTGACCTCGAAGAAGTGAAGACGGAGGAATATTTGATCACTTACAAGATGAACACTTTCTTCCAGCAGACTTGATCAGAAAAGCAGGGTAAAAGTCATATGCGTATCGCACATAGCTAAGACATGGAAAATTTGGGTCCATGGGATCTTCACCTTTTTCTCCGCGGCACTGCCATGAAGTGGCCTCGACTGTTATATTTATATTTCGCACGTTGGTATAGGTGCTCATGGTCGTAGATCAGACTAGAAGTGTCTGCCACGTCTTGTTTCCACGTAGAGTCGTCTTATATGTTCTATGTAGAGTCGTCTTCTCTGTTCTCTCTCTAACTGTAAGCTATGGTGTAGGTCGCCCACTACTCCAGGTATGGCTACCTCACGCTCACTCTGACTTCGCTCTCTGTCTGCCTCTCTCCAGCGCTAGCACCCTAGTGGGCCTTCAAAATATCTGGAGCTTGCACTGTGTGGCTTTTGATGTGTGTGAGATCTGTGGTGGTGGTCGACTCCTGGAAAATCTTTGACTTTGACTACTGTGCCCGAGTTGAGCCTGACTGTTGAGTTTCCTAAGGTCTGATATTGACTCCAGATTCACAGGGTGCCTTGTTTTGACTGTTGATCCTGGGCCGACTGACCAAAGGACTCTCTGGCGACTTTTGACCCCCAAAAATTGACTAGACCAGAAGTTATGATCCTAGACTGGTTCTATGTGGATCTTGAACTCGGTTCTTTGCAGTTTGGATGAGGTACTTCAGTTTGGATGTAGTAGTGGTTCAAAAGGAGGTAGCCACTACCTTTGGTTTTCGTCCTGGTAGATGTGTTATACACCATTTTCCTAAAAGAACTCTTATTCATCTGTTTTTTCTCAGTAGAACTTTACAAAAATCCAAAACCAACCCAAAAAACAGAAGTTTTGATCAATCGAGCAAGTTGATAAAGCACGCAATAGATTAATTTTTTATGCAATATTTTTTCTATGCAAAATATCGATTGAAATTTGATCCGGCTTCAACTTTAATAGGCTTTGTTTGTCAAAAAGACAGTTATGTTCGCTTCGCGCCTGGTCGTTACTTTTATTTCGCCTGGAGCTATAGTATTTACCATGCATAAGACTACTCAAGTAAAAAGACAAGATGTTTTTCAACAAAATATGATAGATTTTCAAAAGACTATCAAAAAAATACGACAATAGAAAGGTCTCTAGTAGCTCAGTGGTTAGAGCAAATGGCTGTTAAGTGCGCCGATTTTGACTTCTTTGTGGAGGAGTTGTACCGACCGGATTTGATCAATCGTTGCATTTGTGTTACATTCAGCTACTGAGATGTCATTACAAGTTGCAGTTAGCTGGGAGTTTACCATGAGGCGTTTGCCGACATAGGTTTCAAAAGGGAAGAAAATAGTTACTGATAGGTCGATGGGATGAAATGTAGTATGTTGTGACCAAACGGAAAGGGTTCCTACTTCCAACTTCTCTTCGATGAAGGATAAGATTCTGTTACCAGGCAAGCAAGGTGGGGTTTCACAGGAAATACCGCCTCAACCCTCACGTGAGAGAGGCAGTGTGCGTGAGCGCCGTGAGAATCTCAATTTGTGTTTCATACCTACCGGTGGCTCGTAAAAGGATAAATTTAAAAATTCCCAACAGTGGTGTTTTTGTCCCTCCTGGCAGCTTGTACCTGCCTGCTGCCGTATGGTGCACAATACTACAAACCTAACAAGGTTGATCAAACAGGTCAAGAGTTCAAATCCTCCAGTCTTCACCCGAATACAACAACCGTCATTATAGCTGTATTTGGGGCAACTTTCAGTCTATTTTCAGAAATTTTGTTTGCGCCCAGGTCACAGAGCACAGCGATAATGACTGGGTGTTCTATTCAGGTGAGGAGGGTAGATGAAGAAATAATGTTATAAGGAGCTACCCTCCTGAAACACCAAAAAAAAGAAAAGCAAGCTGGCTTGCAAGGAGATATTTCCCCTGGCCAAGTGACACTCACTGAGTGTTGTGAGTATATATTTTGTCCCTATTGGCAGCTTGTGAGATATGGTGATGCTCCCATGACCGGAGCAGGCCTGGAGGTTCTTTCTGTTTTTCTTGCAAAGAGCCTGACATTTCTTTTTTCCACGTGAAGGGCGGATTCATGCCGATTGTTGATCTGGTTTCTTGTTACATGTTTTGCAGGGAGCGGGTCACATCCATTCTTGAGGCAGTTGAAGCAGTCAGTAGTACATTGACTGCCAGAGTATCACCGGTTATCCTGCATGTGCCGTTGGAGAAAATTAACTCTGCTTTGGAGGTTTGTACCCTATCCCCTTCGCTTTTGTTTCTTTGCGGTGTTTGCAACTCATTAGGTGACTTTCTGGACTGAATCTGATGATTTGCTCAATGAGACACGGAGCTTCTGTGCTGCTGTTGAACTCCCCACCAATGAAGTTGGAGCAGAAGGTTCACTGGAAGAAGAAATACCACTTGGAGTCTCTTGAATAGATAGAAACATATAAACGAAAATAGAGTTGCAGCAATTTCTGCAATGTCGTCGCCCGCACTCGTGACGTGCACAACCCCCCAGAAATTCCAAACGCATGCCCCCAAGGAAACCTCCAACTCCTCAAACACTGAGAAACCTTTTTCAACCTGTTGTTTCCAGGTGTTTGGGACGCAGTTGCGCCCAAATCGTTCTCACCCACCAAGCCGACCACTCGGCTCAAGACCGTTGGCGGTTGGGGTTGATGCGACCTTGAATGAAAGTAATTTGCTTTCGGTCCTGCCCTGTTGCTAATGAGATTCTGATTTCTGGGGGTCATCCTGTTCCAATTCTGCGCCTGCATCCATGGTACCAGTGCTTTAGGGCATAGGCACACCAGTTCCTCGAACTGCATCTGGCTAAATTGCAGTTGGATGCATCCAGCTAAGCCGTACCATAAGTATGCCTTTATTCATTAACAGCGCATGGTGTCGCTTTGCACCAACGGCTGTCTGGCTCTCAAATGACATTCAATTTTCTCACAGTTTTGTCCTTCAGGATATATCCATTAAAATTGGAATGACACAGAGAAGATTAGCATGGCCCCTGAACAAGGATCACACATAAAAATCAAGAAATGGTCCCAAAAAAAAAAGAAAGAGAGGAAAAAATTTCCAGACTTTTAATTGTACTTGATGAAATCTGTCTCATGAATCATGATGCCGGCAGGTTTTGTCGATGTTGGCCAAGGGATACTGGTCAGGTCTGAACACAGGTCTTGCTGCTAGGCAATTCTTTCCTGTGACCAGTTCAAGTATATCTGAGCATGGCGTGGAGACTGGTGCGGCATCTGAAGTGGGGAAAAAGCAAACGTCGGAAGTCGCTTCATCTTGTCCTGCACAGACCTCACATGAAGAAAATGTTTTTTCAATGCTTTTCCGCCTGCATATTGCCAGCATTGGCGCATTGTTTCTAGAGGATTACCAGCCAACACTAGGATCTGGTCTTGGGCATGACACACAAGAAGGCAATGGAAATCAGCAGCAGCCCAATCCCCCTTTGCCTTTTTTGACGTCTTTTCCACATCAGTCCAAAAGTGATAGCTGGACAAGTGGCCTGAGCGGGAACCAACGTTTCCTTTCCCCAGGTAGAGATGATGACGGTAGAGATGGTGCTTTTGTGGATAGTTTCTGGATTGAGATGTTTGCGGGTGATGGTTACCGAGCTCATGCCTCCCTTGGATGGGAAGGATTCAGAATGGGCATGAATGTAGAAGGTGAGGATGGTGAGGCAGCGCTTGACAGGCAACAGGTGCAGAAATCCTCCGAACGAGAAGGCAAAGGCAAAGAAGCAGCACGAAGAGCGAAGAAAACTGCAAAAATCGAGTGCAGCATTGGCCAGTGTTGTTTGAATCTTTGTGGACCCCAAGGTTGTGGACAAGTGGGGGATATTGAGAACATTGTAAAGCGTCGCATGATGTCCGAGGCAACAGAGCGACGGGATGGAGATAAGGATGTCCATGGGGAAGAAGACGCAGAAGGCATTCCAACAGCAGGGTCGCAGGTAAACAACGATCATAGAGATGAACAAGGGGAAGTGGATGGGCAAGCAGGTCCAGCAGGAGATGAGGGTGATTACGTACGACCAGAGTTTGGAGTGCCAGTGCCTGAATCATTTGCAGCCCAGGAGAGTGTGGATGCCGGGAGCACCTTCACAGACTTCGGCAGTGCTGCTGATAGGTTTAGTGTCTGGAGTTCAAGGTACGGCCGTTCGTCAACCTTCTCAGAAACAGGGGAGCTGGGTACGCGGCTCTCAGCTGAAGGGCAGATACAGGATGTCAGCAAAGGGCAGGGCGGATCCAGGGCTGGAGGAAGTGATGGGGAGGCTCCCAGTGAAGCCAGGTCGGGACAGAAGTTGGGTATGTTATCGAGGTCGAGGTCTCTTGGGTCCATGAGGGACTTGGAGAAAGAGAATCTGGAGCACAATGTGGGAGAGAGTGGTGGTGGGATTGACCTGCGAAGACCAACTGACTTTCCTGCAACCCCAAAGGCAGCCCCGGTAGACCAAAGGAAGCACACTGGGAGCAAGAGCACTCATTCACAAAATAGTGGTAGAAGAAGTCTGTCCAGGTTAAAAGGATTGTATGTGGATGGCAGCAGTGGTGAGAAAAACAAAGGAGACACCTGGGAGGATGCTCTCTCCCCACGTTCTGTTGGAGAAATGAGCTTCATGACGGCAGAGGCTGAAAGCTCGGACGGGGAGCTGATGACAGAGATGGGACTATTGAACGAGATGTCGACCAGTGGGATTATGTGGGGAAAGCAGTGGGCAGTTGCTAGCCTGCAAATTGGAAGCTTAGTGTTGAGGAGAGGTGACTATGATGGGGTAGCTGACTTGAGAGCAGTGGCAGAACAGGTCATGAAGGGGTCAGATGAGATTGACATAACCCTCCTTGTTGCCGAGAATTTGACAAAAGTTCGGATGAAGTCAGAGGTATGCCGTACTTAACCTTTCCACTGAGGCTTCATTCTCCCTCCCTCTGTGCGTGCGTGTGTGTGTGTGTGTGTGTGTGTGTCAAAAAAATTCAGAATCGTAAGAGATAAAGGAAAGTGCAAGTCTCTGTGGTTGGGCAGCAAGTGCCGGCACTTTTATCTGCTTGTGCACTTGCACAATAAAAGGAGGAATTAGCAGACCCCCAAGCCCCCTCGAAAGCATGCAGCAGCCATGCGTGACGGGAAGCACCACTGCAGAAAGCATTCTGGCCTACCTTACTTTACCATGTCGTGTGAAGGTCACAGACCAAGGCAGTTCCACCCACCGGACATGATCCTCTCTCAGCCTCTTCACAAATACCTACCTGTGGCATACAGCCATGCTCTGGAACCTTCGTTTTGCACTAGGCGCTTGCTTGAAGCGTGCTGACCTAAGCTGCAAAACCGTGTGCTCGTAACCAGTCCTTGGAAGATCTCTGACTGTGTCCCCGAGACACAGTTGAACGGGAAGTTTGCGAGCGCGAGGTGTAGGTGGGATTCCAGACCGAACGTGGCTAGGAAGGCACAAAGCAACACAACGTCTTCTCTGTATTTATGTTGATAAGAAACCCGTGGGAATGTCATGAGCAGCACGAGGTACCTTGAGTCTTCTCGCAAGGGTTCCAGCCTCGTAGTTCTAGGACAGGATAAACATCATGTCACCATTCACAGAACAGACCACCCTCTGTGTGCGTGTGCATGTGTTGTAGAACCTTCTTCACCATTCATTCATATACCTATGGTCATGCATGCCTGCGTGTGTGTTTAATTTTCACCACAACAATCCCTGTTCCACCCAAATGAGTAGATCCAAAACCAAACCAGCTTTACCTCTATTGCAGACAATGAAGTACACTTGAGATGAGCCAATCCAACAATGAAACAGTTTTACCTCTATAGCAAGCTTTACCTCATTGCAGACAATGAAGTACACTTGAGATGAGCCAATCCAACAATGAAACAGTTTTGCCTCTATAGCAAGCAACATGGGGTACAATAGACCCGTCACATCGCTTTCTTAAGTATCTTTACTTTGGCTTTCGTTGGAGTACCCATTTTATTTGTTCTTGCAGCTCCCCTTCTGTGCCTCTCACGTACAAGGCTGGCCACGTTGATTGTGGTTTAGTACCAGCTGCCCACATCCGCGTGTGTCTTAAAGGCCCACTTCCACGTTATGAAAGGAGGGAGAGTAAAAGGGGAGGTATACTCCTGTTCATTTTTCTTTAGATCCTCGGTTCGCATTTTTGTCTGTCCTCTTAATGATGGTGTGTGTGTGTGTGTGTGTGCGTGCTTGCGCTTGTGTGTGACTACATCCTTCGAAATATCAGATAGTGTCTGCAGAAACCTCATCTGCAGGAATATATTGTACGCCGCCTTCGTGTATGCTTGGCTTCTGCAAGAATTTCTGTTTAGAGCATTTTGAGGGTATGGTTGCAGTGAGCGTATCTTTTGAGAACTGTAATTCTTCAGGGGTATCCATGTCAATTGGACCTCTTGTCCAGGATTGATTACTTCCTGATCTCTGAGAGCCTACAAGGTACAATCAAGGAAGCTGCAATACGTCCTTCGTCCGCCTTCAAAGGAGTGGACCACAAGCCCATTCAACTGCTGCTTAATTTCAACTCACCAGTCGAAACAGGCCTAGCGACCGAGAGGCTGTCCATAGCGGTCAAAGAAAATTGGTCCATCCAAAAATGTGCGAGGATTCAGACAGACAATGGTTCATCAACAGTTACACAGACCTAACACGAACAGTATCTGTGATGGGGCTGAGGCAGAGCAGAGAGGCTGGGAGAGAGAGGGAGAGGGAGAGCACACACACACACTCACTCAACTCGATGCAGACTCGACACAACTCGATGGATGCAGACACACAGTGGCAAAGTCGACGGACGCAGACACACAGTGGCAAAGTCGCAAAGTCACAATCTTGGATTCCGAACACAATGTTGCAGCAATTCACACTGAAGCACAAGCACTGAGGCCGAAAACTGAATGCCCGAACTCAGCTCGAGTCTGGTACTCAAGTTGTCCTGAGGCCAGAAGTGCAATTTGCCTCGGGGCAGTCCTAAGGGCAGAAGTGCAAGCCTCGGGGCTGAACTGAAAATCGAAGGTCTGAGCCTGGGCGCCAGAATGCCAGATGGCGCCAAGTATTGAAATCCGTAAGTGCCAGAGGAGGGATTTGAGAATGGGCGCCAACTGCAGAGGGCGCCAACAGTCAGGAACCGGAGATCAGAGACTCAAAAATAAAATAGCAGCCTGGCAGGTGGTAACCCGCGGACCAGGGATCGAGCCCTGGCTGAGTCCGTAACACTATCCCCTCCCTCTGGAAGGCAACGTCCCGGCTGCCAAAGAAGACCCAATAAACAACTGTGAAGGATGGGACGGGGCCGATCACTGGTCAGAAAAGGAAAGGGGGAGTAGTGGAGGTTCTACATGGATGAGGGAATCAATGCTCAAGAAACAGGGTAATCTTATTGAGGTATAGGGGTGAGGGAATCAATGCTCAGTTAATAGGGTAATCCTATTGAGGTTCTACAGGGATGAGGGAATAAATGCTCAAGTAACAGGGTAATCCTATTGAGGTTCTACAAGGGTGACAGTAGCAATGTTCAGGTAACAGGGTAATCCTATTGAGGTTCTACAAGTAACAGGGCAGTCCTATTGGTGTTCTACAAGTTTATAGGTTGTCAGGTTTGAGAAAAAACAGGGCAGTCCTATTGGTGTTCTACAAGGTTATAGGTTGTCAGGTTTGAGAAAAAAAAAAAAAAAAATTGTTTGTTCAATGCTGAAGTGCTGAGGTGTCTGAGGGGTCTGGGAAAACAATGTCTCAGGTCTGTAACAAAGTGTCAAAAGCAAAAAAAAAAATAATCTTGAGGAAGGTCTAGGAGGGTGTTGCAGACGTGGCGGTGAGGAAGCAGTCTTCAGCAGTTTTGTGATGTAGACGGCAATGGCTTCAGCTTGATTGTCCCAGTAGCAGGTTGCGTCTGGTACACAACGTGATGATGAGGTCTGATCCAGATAGCAGGTCGCAGACTGATCTTGATGTCCATGGCAGAGGTGCTGCTCCAGAAGTCTGCGAGTCCAAGGTGCCGGCCAAAGGGAACAGCATGGTGGCCAACCAGCTGTCTTATCTCCTCGTACTGAGCTGCAGCATGCCATCATCCTTGTGCGCTTGCCATTAGATCCGTTATCGCCGGCGACGAGCAGGGGCCACATGTAGGACTTGGACAAGAGGGACAAAGATGTGGCAGAGGACAGATGGGAGAACGGGGCGAGATGGAGGCAAGAGCGGATCAGACAGAGGAAGGTCAATGGTCAAGGGTTTTGCTGGGTACAGGGGATGTGTGTAGTGCAGGGAGGCAGGGTTGAGGCAGGGTTGAGGCGGGGTTTAGGCATAGTGGGTATAGCTAGGATATAGAATGGGCGCGATCATAGGCGCAAACAAGTTTCATGGCATTCTTAAGATTAGCAAGAGGTTCCCATGTGGATTCTTTGTCAGGGTATCCTGTCCATTTAACTTCGTATTTTGTGATTGGTTCAAGGTCGTCAGATACCAGAGTAGTTCTTCGTCCTATGATGGCTTCGACGACGAATTCAGAGTTTGTGGTACATGATTGGTGGACGTCTAGGATGTGGGTGGTCAGCGAATTGGGGTGGGGATTCATGGTATTCTTTTAGGTATTCTACGTGGAAGACAGGATGGACACGACTCATGTCAGGGGGGAGTTGGAGTTTGTAGTTGACGGGGGAGATTTGTTCAATGATGGGGAAGGGTTCGAGCCACTTGTTCGAGAGTTTCTTGGACAAGCCGTGTTCAGGTTCAAAGCGTTTGGCGGAGAGCCAGACTTTGTCCCCTTTTTTGAATTACACGTCACGTTTGTGTTTGTTAGTGTTGTTGGCTTGTGTTCTTGTGCTTCGATCAAGGGCTTCGGTGGCTTCTCTGAGGAGTGTGTTCATTGTTGCTACCCATTCATTGAGAGAAGGGCAGGGGGTGGAGGGGTTAAGTTGCAAAGGAAGCAAAAAGTCAGAGGGGCAAGCGAGGATGGTAGCGAAGGTCGAGGTAGAATGGGGGCATGCTAGTGGAGGGACAAACGGCGTTGTTGTAAGTGAATGTGGTTGTGAATTTAAGAGGTTTAGGTAGCGTTCCCTTCCATATTTGAATATTTGTATTGTATTCTCACCTGGAATATCTAATCCTGGTATCCTTAAAGCATCTCCTCCTTTGATATAATTCCTATCATGTACTTCAAGATTTATGTTGGCTCCCTTAAAATAAATTCCATATTGCTTTCTTATTTTCTCCACTTTGTCCTTGGCGGCTGTCAGCAACTGGTTCCAATCATGTTGGTGTGGATGACAATACGCAGGATTCTTTGGAGACTATCGTTCATCTTCTCAGTTTGACCATCAGTGTGGGGGTGGAATGCAGTGTTATACTTGAGCGTGGTTCCATATGTTGTGAAGAGGTGTTTCCAGAATTGTGAGAGGAAGCAGGGATCATGGTCATTGATGATGTTCTTGGGGAGGCCGTGATGGCATGTGACATGATCAAAGAAGAGAGTGGCGACGTCTTTGGCGTTGTGCGAAGTAGTGCAAGGGATGAAGTGTGCGCATTTAGTCAAGCAACAAACGATGACATAGATGCAGTCATGGCCACGATCAGTCTTGGGTAGACCGCACACGAAATCCATGGAGATGGACTGCCACCGGTGAGGGGGAATAGACAATGACTGTAACTTGTCGGGTTTGGCCCAGTTTGAAGGGTTGACGGCTTGACATGTGGGGCATGAGCGAATGTAAGCTTTGACGTCGGCGAGTAGGGAAGGTCAGTAGAAGTAGCGGGAGATGGTGTCGAAGGTTTTCTGGAACCCGAGGTGTCCCGCAGTCTTGGCATCGTGGTGCTCAAACGAGAGTTGGGTACGGAGACCATGTGCGTCGAGGATGCCAAATCGGTGAGTG